CTTCTTAAAAATCAACGCGAACTTCAAATTATATGAAAATTTGTCTCCTGCAGGCATAAAACTCTCTCAACACTGTGAGAGAAATTCAATTACATTTTCCCGCTAATTTTGGAACATTAGGCAGATATTTTTCAGTTGCTTCAAAACTGCGCTTGCTCTAAAATTCCCCTAATCACTTCAATACATACCTTTAATAGTGGCATTTAAAAACTTCATCCGGCCTAAGTTTTCAGACGTCAAGGCCTCATTCTTCTGATTAAATCGCCTAATTTCGCTCATCAGTTTCTGCTGAATTTCACTGTTAATCGCCAGTTCGTAGAAGCAAAACAACAGCGACGAACAACTATAGCTTAGAGTGTCTAGAAACGCATTAAACACTTCTTCTGCAATGTCATCGACTGTGTAGTCGGATCCGTTGAGTAGCCGTGTAAAGGCCTCGATCAGATCATTAGCTTCCGAGTCATTTTTCTTCCGGGCCTCCATCAATTCCAGCAACAGCTTGTGAGGTTTTGGGGGGCTTTGAAACTTCTGCAGCACTGGAAAGCCTAAAAGCAGATACTTGTGGGATGTGGCGACGTTTTCCTGGAGCAGCTCGATGATTTTTCCCGCCAGTTGAGGAGCTTGGAAGCCGAAGAGCAAACACGTGGACTCCCATAGGTAGTATTTGAGGACTTTGGCCGCAGCCAACTTGAGGAGGGATTCAGGAATGGCTTCTTTCACTGAAGAGTTGAAATTTTTGATAAAGCAGTTGGAGACGTCGTGGTTCAGTAGAGCTGCAGCCTCTTGAGGTTTGAGCTTGCACTCTTTGGGAATCACTGAAGTTCCGTTGGAGGCTGGATCCACTGCTACAATCCCCGGCTTGACCAGAACGAACATCCCTCCAAAGCGCGAATTCTTCCTGTTGAACTTTCTGTAGTACTTCCATAAACACGTGTGCAAGCAAGTGTTTTCTTTGATGATTTCGCCTAAATTGTCAATACTTTAGCGTAGAGCCTCTGGGGATCTCCGCCTTTTCAAAGAAAGTGTATGTCTTGAGGATCCATACCAGGCCGAACAAGGCGGCAAACATGCAGATTGTGATGCAATAAAGCAGATAATGAGGCTTGATGTGGTTGAGGAAGGTAAACTGTGCACTTAGGCAGATGTTGCTGAAGCTCATTGTGGATATTCCGAACTTAGGCACTTGTTAGCACATTAATTAGACAATGACTCGACGATGTCAACGAGAATCGATAATAGTGTTTTGGATTGGACTCGAGCACGTGAACTCATGCAATCTTTACCAGCGGTTTAGATGGACGCACATTTCGCTTAGCCTAGTTTGCGGATTTTGCGGCAGGAATGTGGTATAAAAATGTGTATATACAGTTAAAAATTTGCTTAAAAAGCAATCAGTATTCTACATGTTTGCTTGTTCGTCAAATGACTGTGATTTATTAGGGACATAATGGATCAATCAATTGCCGACATTTTGTTTTTTTTCTAGTATTTATTTAACATTAACAAAGTTGACTGTGAACAGATCTAAATAAATAGAATTTTAATGTTTCGTTTTCAGGCAATGTGAATATTTTAGTTGCAACACTGAGTTGATGAGCAGATTGTTGAAATGTGGATACAACAAATGGGTCATATTAAATGTTTTAAAAAAATATATTGGTTGGCTAAATTTGGATCAATAAACGATTTTGTTGAACCGCTATCGATTAAAAGGTTTAAATTATGTTCAGGGAATATTATGTACGATAATTCGCTGACATGCATGTTGTCGCTTCATCTTCATGCTTCAAAATCAAAACTGTTGTTTAAAAGAGAAAGACTTTTTACTTTTGGCGTTTTTTGAAATTAAAAAACTCATGCCCCTGTTGCGGTTTTGGAAAAACCCAAAGCTAGTTAAATGAATTAATTTCTCTGAACATCAGCTTTTTGCCGTTGAATTCAGACCCAAACTGAAAACAATTTTTAATTCAAATAGTAGACTTTTCTTCAAGTTGCGAGGGTTCTTTAGCAATCCAAATGAGAAAATCCAGTTTGCGACCACGTGGCAAAAAAGGCGCAACATCAGCTTAATTTTAAAAATCTTCAAACTGCGATTTTTACGATTCGCCTTTTTGGAAATTAAAATTCTATGAAAAATGTAGTTATTTAAAAAAAATCGCTTAACGCCCCGGAACTTCGTTCTCCTTATGTTAATTTAAAAAATCTCAAAACTGTCTTAAATACGATGATTTTTCATACAGTTGACCTTGTTTTAAATTTAATTTCGTTGAAAAACGTCGAAGTTTCGAAAAAAAAGCATTTGACAATCCGCATAACTTTCTTATTCTTCACTTCATCTTAAATTTACCCAAAGGAAAAATGGCCAGGGCTACAAACTCAAATCTGTTGAAAAACATTGAAGTTTTGCCGAAACTTTTCTTTTGCAATTCGAGACCAAAAAGTACTTAATTTCATTTCATTTGGGTCAATTTCAAAAGTCTAAAATTTGCCTAAATAACGATCAAGTTTCCTAATAATCGCCTCTTGAAAAATATTCAAATCCCTTAAAAAACATGAAAGTTACAAAAACGGTAAAACGATTTTTTACTTTTCTTCCAAAGAAAAATAAAAAAATGTTGATCAATTGTTTTAAAAGCAGTGACGAGTTTAGTTCTGGGTAGAAGCTGGACGAAGTTGTTCAACCAGTCAAGAAAAATTCGAATCTGAAAACCGCATGACTACCTTATCCATTATGTTATTTCAAAAATCTAAAATGTGTCTGCAAGCGCATGACTTTATCTAAAGGCCAAATTGTTTGAAATAAAGATCCGCTAAAAAATGTAAAATTGTTTGCAAAAATTCGAGTCAAAAACCGTGTATCTTTCCTATCAATCTCAAAAATTCAAAACTTTCAAATGCATCGAAGAGACGCTGAATTTCACCATAATTTACCGATTTGAACTAAAATCGGTTATAAAACGTGGAAGTTATTAGGAAAATTATCTTTACAATCCGGAACCAAAAATCACGGAACTTCCTTATTACGCACTACTTAGACTTCAAAATCTAAAATGTATTCAACAGAAGACGAATTTTATCTACAGTGGAAAATACGGTAAAAATTTGCGCCAAAATTCAATCATTTTTGCAAGAAAAAAATCAAAAAAAAATTGCAAAAACTATTAAATTTAAAAAATTTAGTTCAGGTGAAAGCTGTAAGCGTAAAAAAACAAAGCAAAATGCCTAAAATTTCGATTTAAAATTTGAATCCAAATACCGCATAAATTCCTGATCATTGGCTTGATTGCAAAAGCAAATTATCACCTAAAAGTCCTTAAATTATTCATCAATTCGACATTATGAAATTTGAATTTTGCCAATAAATCCGCACGTATCGGAAGAACAAACATAAAAAAGCAAATTCCATCCGCTTAAAACATATTTAAAAATCTAAAAATAATATTTAAAGCAAACTTTTCTGCGATGCGCTTTTTAGAAAATTTTAATTCGTCATAGAAGATGAGTGTTACAGCAAAAAAATAATAATTGTTTTATAAATTTCTCTGGCTTAATTTCAAAATTAAAAAAATGTCTAAAAGATTACGCATATGAAAAGTATACAAATTTTGAGAAAAATCGGCTTTATTTTCATTCGTATCTTTTTATTATATTATTTACTGTTTACCTTTTTTGACACTGAAATCCGATGCAAACTTTTGACAAAAATTTTTTTTTTAATTCGCAGATCCAAAAATTGCATCCCTTATCCTTTACTAAAATTCAAAAATATAAAATAATCCCAAAAACCATAATTTTTGCTAAATTTTGGCATTTTTGAGATAAAAATCCAGACAAAACTAAATTTACGAAAATTTAAAAAAATTTACGAAAAAAATCGGTTCAAAAATCGTTTAACTTCATTATTAATATCAAAATTTCGAAAATATTAATTGTATCTAGAAGACGCAGAAACTGGCCAAAATTCGCCTTTCAAGATTGAAATTAGGTTAAAAATAGAGAAGTTACGCTAAAATGTATTTCTTCAAACCGACACCAAAAAGCGCATAACTCCTTTATCCTCAGATAAGGTAGTTGCTTCAGCTTAATTTAAAAAATTTAAAATTTGTCTAAATAACGATTAATTTTTTTTATTTAAAAATGCGCTTGAAGTTACAACAAAAATCCAAAGATCTAAAAAGCGCATGACTTCTTTAATCCTAATTTGTTTTCCAGGTAAAAAAAATGAGTTCAAGAGGCAATCATTTTTCTGCAATTTGCGATTTTCCCATAATTCGCCGTTAAAAAACGTAAACGGTAGGACCAAATTTTGCGTCTAAAACCGTATATCTTCCTTATCAATTCCAAAAATTCATTTTTTTTAATCCATCTGAGAAGCGCTCAATTTTTTTATAATTTGCCTGTTTGAAATGTAAAAGCCGTGACAAAATGTGGAAGTTACGAAGAAAATTGGACTTTATCCGCCGATTGACTGCAGCGTACTTTTGAAGGCCCATACTAAAATCATTATTACAGGAACTCAAAACGAAACAACTTCCGCAGCTTTCAGTTTAACGCGATTTACACCTCCACCTACACGAATACAGCTTCGTACATGGTAGGACTGGCTTTGGGCTGTTTTTACTACGCATTGGAAAAGGGTGGTGCTCAATACAAGAAATACGTAAGTAGCTGCTAAACTCGTCTGATTTGAACCGCTTTAACAGAGTGACACGAAAATAGTTCAACAGAAAATCCACCAGTCTTCTGAGCGCCATTTCCATTGACATGCTGCTGGTCGCCTCCCAAGACTATTCCAGGCCAATCAGCGTTGTTTTGGCTGGACTGGTAAAACCCTGCTACGCTTTGGGGATCGGAATCGGGATTATTTCAATGTCCCAACAGGCAAATTGCAAGTAAACCA